CCTCCCAAGTAGCTGGGACCACAGGCGCCCGCCACAACGCCCGGCTATTTTTTGGTTGCAGCCGTCATTGTTGTTTGGCAGGTCCGGGCTGGGGATTCAAACCTGCCACCTTAGGTGTACGTGGCTGGCGCCTTAGCCGGTTGAGCTATAGGCGCTGAGCCACAGGACAGGTTTTTTGAGGATGGTACAAGGCCTGTGTCCTTCTGCACCTCCCTCTACCTGCCTCAGGCCTGCCCTGCCCCAGCCCTCACAGGGATACAGAGTTTGTGCTTCCTCAGGCTGAGTCCATCCTCACCAGCCCCAGAGAAGGGGGAGGTCCACTTGGCATGAAACCAGACAGGCCTAGCTGGCCTGTGCCCACTTCCTGTGCCTGCAGGATAAAGGGCCCTAGTGAAAGAGCTGCAGCATCGTGGCCGAATCCCTGAGCCTCAGCCTCTATACCCCAAAGCTGGTATTGGGGTCCTCGTTGTCCTCTCCAGGCTTCTCCTGAGATGCTGTGGCTGCTCCTGGTCCTCCCCTGCCTGGGAGCCTCTGTGCCTAGGACCCCAGGCAAGTCTACCCCACTCGAATCCCTGGCTGCCCCAGGACCCCACCCTACCCTGGCTCATAGCCCTTCTTTGGGGTGGTGTGGGGGCCATCCACTTGCCAGTAGTTTCACCTGCTCCTGAGCAATAGGCAGACGCTTACTGGTCCCCTGATGGCCCTTCAATTTACTCCCCAGACCCTGGCTCAGGCCGCGAATTGGTGGACATCGTCGGGGGCTGTGATGTCATGGCCAGGAGGTACCCCTGGCAGGTCAGCCTGAGGTTCTACAGCATGAAGTCTGGCCTGTGGGAGCACTTCTGTGGAGGCTCCCTTGTGCACCCGCAGTGGGTGCTGACTGCTGCCCACTGTGTTGAGCCGTGAGTGGGGCTGCCCCGTCTTCTTGGCTGTTGGGGGTGGGAAAGGGGGTGTGTGGCTGTATGCAGGGTCCAGGGCTGTGAGGTAGGACTTCTGAGGGCCACTCCTCAGGATTCAGGAATCCTGGGCTTGGGGCATCTGGCCCAACTCCTTCTCTGAGGGTCTCTGGTCTCCTGTTTCTAGGGAGGAGCTGGAGGTTTGTGCCTTTAGAGTCCAAGTTGGGCAGCTGAAACTCTATGACCATGACCAGCTGACGAAGGTGGCTCAGATCATCCGCCATCCCCAGTACAATGACAGCCTGTCTGCTGCGGGGGGTGCAGACGTGGCCCTGCTGGAGCTGGAGGCCCCTGTGATGCTTTCGGAGCACGTGTACCCCGTGTCCCTGCCGCCTGCCTCCCTGAGGGTTCGCTCAGGGAAGATCTGCTGGGTGACCGGCTGGGGTGACATTGTGGATAGAAGTAGGTGTCAGGGAGGCTTGGTGGGGTTAGGGAGAAAAGTCTGGGGAAGCCACCTGGGTCCCTGGCAGTGCTTAGCAGGACTCCTTCCTCTGGGCATCTGGCAAGGTCCCTCTAGCTGCAGGTGGTAGGCAAGGTGAGGGTTTCCAGCAGCCACTGCATGGGTTTCCTGAGGTGACAGTGACAAGTGACCACAAACGAGGTGGGGGGTGCGGATGTGGACCCTCTTGACTCTGTCTGAGCACATGTACCCTGTGTCCCTGCTGCCTGCCTCCCTGAGGGTCCACTCAGGGAAGACCTGCTGGGTGACCGGCTGGGGTAACATTGTCGACAGAGTAGGTCTCAGGGAGGTTGGTGGGGATGAGTGGGAGTGGCTGGGTCTTTACAGGACATTATTTGCTCTCCTATCTTTTGGGAACCCTCTGTGGGCAAGGTGAATGTGGCTCCCAGGTTTTGGATAGAAGGGTTGTGGTATAGACATCAGGAATTGGGACTTGCCTGAGGCAGCCCCGGGCAGGCAGTGCATGTGTAGATCCAGCCCCCCTCGTCCCTCCTTCCACTCACACTACTGCAAGGTCCCGGGACTCCTCTGCTGCTGAAGTAGATTTTGTGGGAAGGTTTGTGAGTGGGGGGCTTTGGTCCATGGATGGCCAGATTCCAGCCACAGTGGGTGTGGGGAAACCCATCACAGGGTTGCCTAGGCAGATCCTAGGGTCAGGGCTCACGGTAGGAGCCCCCAGCTCCCTCTGTGTTGGGGACATTGGGATCCCCCCACCCACGACAGCCCTGTGTTCTCCCCCCAGCACCACTGCCCCCACCCTTCAAACTACAGGAGGTGGCTGTCCCCATTGTGGGGAATGAGGAATGTAACCAGCAGTATAAGAGCTACTTCAATGACTCCGACTCCGAGGAGATTATCAAAGAGGACATGCTGTGTGCCGGGAGGGAGGACAGGGACTCCTGCCAGGTGAGAGCCCAGCCTGCCCTGTCCCACTGTCCCCTCACAGACCATAAAACGGGGACCCATGTGCCCTATTGTCATGGGGCACATGGGAAGCATGGCTGAGTGACACTCTCCCTACAGGGTGACTCCGGGGGCCCCCTGGTGTGCAGGTGGAACTGCTCCTGGGTCCAGGTGGGGGTAGTGAGCTGGGGCATCTTGTGTGGTCATCGTGACTTCCCTGGGGTGTACGCCCGTGTGACAAGCTACATGTCCTGGATCCGCGAGTACGTCCCTCGGTTCCCTGGATCCTAGATGGGTTCCTGGTGAGGGAGTCCCCTGTCATCCCTGCTGGCCTCCTGCCCCTCTCCAGTCTCAGCTGTACCCTCCCTTTCTGCCTCTTCTCATCCTGTGAGCTTCTCAAGGCTCTGTCTGTCCGTCAGCTAGGGAGCCAAGGAGAGGAGGGGGCCTCCAGAGATGTGTCAAGAGTGGAAACAAAATCCAGAAATCCCAGATAATTACTTTTCATTAAACTGTGTGGGAAAACTGCTTCAGGTTTTGTGGTATGTGTCTGGGGTCACAGAACAGGTGGCCTGCTGGCTAGCTGGGTCCCTTACTCAATGCACGTGTCTGCCATGCTAAAGTGCTGTCCTGGGTCCTTGGCCTTATGGTTTCCGGCCCAGACTGGTCTGCTGCCCCTCCTTAAAGCCATCTCATGGGGCCCCCCTGGGCACTGCCCCTCCTGCCAGGGACTTTCTGGCCAGGAGAGTATGGACATGAGAGCAGAGGGTGCCTCATGGTGGCATCTGGTGCTGGAAGGCACTGTCCAGGGAGGAAACCACTGGTCCTGTTCTTTAGCCCCTCCACTCCAGGGCAGTGTTCCCAGCTGCCTCTGTAGACTTTCTTCTCCTTTTTTTGGCACAAACTTCTTGTGTTTGGATTTTAAAAGTTCTGTCCAACCTGTGCCACAAACATGCCCTATGGGTCTTGATTAAGGTGACCAGATTTTAACATTAGTAAAGCGGGACACCATTGACCAGGGGGAGGGGGGGTATTCTTAATTAAAAATTTGGTCTATATGGAGCAACAAAAATTTTCATAGAATGCAAAAATAGTATTGTAATATATATTTTTAATTTCAATATAAGTACAATTTACAAATATAATACATTAAAAAAATTATGTATAGGGTGGTACCTGTGGCTCAAAGGAGTAGGGTGCTGGCCCCATATGCCGAAGGTGGCAGGTTCAAACCCAGCCCTGGCCAAAAAAAAAAAATTATGTATAGTATTATTTTATTTTTTGGCATATTTCTCATTTGAGTGAATTTTTTTTAGTAGATTGCTGTCGTTGTTTAAAAGGTCATGAAATTTTTCATAAGAATTTGTTAAATTATATTTCACACATAAAATGGCTTTCAAAGTCTCAACACTTAATTGTGATTATTCTGATGTCCACACTTTATTTACCGTAGAAAAAATGTGTTCAGTCACAGCATTAGTTCCTGGTAAGGACAGTGCGTATCCCACAATTTTTAGTGCATTATTGTATGGAAGATGGTTTATTTCAAAATGATGAAATATTTCTAACCATTTGTTCTCTATTGTGATTTTTGCTGATGACCAAGATTTAACCTCTTCCTTATCAATGTTTTTTTAATAATGATACCTTGTAAATTGTAAGTGTCACTTTCAAGGCTGGTGCTAGACTGTTTGCTGCCACTATAAAATAAATAATACTAGTACTGTCTGCTAAATTCATGAAATAAATAAATAAATTACTTACCTAAATTATCTAAATAGCTGATTTGTTGACATCACTTGTTTAACTAGCACTAGCACGTGGTATGATGTGTATTGTCTGAGAGATAGTTACAAAATGTTTTTGTGGTTGCCAATGCCCCAAAATGTCATTGTTCATTAAGTCCAAACAATGGTGGTCGAATTCTAATTGACAATGTGAACTTTGATAAGCAGTTCTCAATAATCAGTTCTCAACAACTATTTGTTGTTATTAAATTTAACATTATAAAATTAACAAAAATAATATGAAACTCATATCCTGACGAAACAGCCACATGGCAGTGTTGGGACCAGAATGGCTGCTGAGAGACCACAACACACATGTAAAGACAAAAAGTGCTTTATTTTGCAAGCATATGCCTGGGCCACTCTTCCCTTCAGTGTGGTTGGAGGAAGGGCGACCCCCTAGTGAAGCGAGTTGAGGTTTTTAAAGCTCATAGAGGAATTTCATGGGGTGTTTTGTTAGGCCAGGCTGCTATTGGCTGAGCTGTTTATGGTTAGGGACCCTCTGAGGAGGGGGGGCTACTTGTTTGTTCCAGACAGTTTGGCTCCTTCTGAGCTAATTGTCCTTGCCTAGAAGACAGGGAGGGAACCAGTTTCCTTCTGATACCAATTCTACCTGGGGACCTTGCCCAGGAGGGGAGTAGGGAGTTTACATTAGCCTTTTCATTTCCATGAAGTTACATTAACATCTTCATTCCCAAATGGAGTTACTTTAACCTTTTCAGCACCCATTCTCCCGCTGTTCCCTAGCTTGTCGTGCATTCTTTCCAAAAATTGGGACTTTTTAAAAATGCCACAAGATGTGGGACAAATTGTTAAAAGTTGGGACTGTCCTGCCAAAAGCGGGACGTCTGGTCACCTTAGTCTTGATTTTCAAGGGCCTGTAGGAGCTGAGCCATCCATTGGGCTTCCACAACAATGACAGCACTGCTGGGAAGATGGTCCCCACCAGCACCTTGGGTTTTCTGGCTGTTTGTTATAGTAGCATGCCCTGGTGGTCACATAAGCCTACAGCATTTGGAGACTCAGGGTGATGACTGGGAGGAAGTGATGGCTGGGTTGGGATCCCTGGGCCTGCAGGAACTCATGGCTCAACTAGCTTCAGTGGAAAAGAACTCATTCTCTGTTCCAAGTTGGGCTCCCTGTATCTCAGGCTGTGTTGGCTTCATAGCATTTCCCACTAGTCAGGGTAGGGGCAGCCCCTGGGCTGTAGCATGCCCTGAGTTGATGGCTTGGGCTCCCCTTGTCTAATTAATCTATCTTTGAACTCTGAGCCCAGAGGTGGCCTCTGAGCATCAGAATAGAGGACTCTGGAAGGGGCCTTGGTGCTAGGGAAGGGCCCAGATAGCCACTCCACCCCACTTTCCACTTCCTGTGTCAGGTGGCACTGGGTTGCCCCTCACTAGCCTGTTCTTAGGCAGAGATCAGCTTTGCTCCACCACGCCCACCCATTAGTGCCAAAATGCCTCTTTCTGAGTTTGCGTAGCAATTGTAAAGTCCCAGGTGCTTATAAAGTTGGAGGCAGCTAGTGTTTCTGCCCAGAATCAGCCTCCTGGGGCCTCTATGGCCATTATCTTCCCTCTCCATGCCCTTCCCCTGCTCCCCAGGAGCCTGTGAGAAATCCCCTTTTCCCACTGTTGGTGGCTGCGTCCTTCAAATCTCATTCTCTGTCATGGTCTGAACATTTGTGTCCCTCCAAATTCATAGCTTGAAGCCCTAACACCCCTGTGATGGCATCGCAGAAGGTGGTCCTTTCAGCAGGTAATTAGAGATTAGTGCCCTTATAAACGGGGCCTCAGAGAGGCCTTGGAAAGCAGAAAGCTCACAGGTCCCTTTCAACATGTGAGGAGAGTCTGAGAAGGCACTGCTGGTGAACCTGCCTGTGCTGGCTCCCTGATCTTGGACCTCCAGGCTCCAGAGCCATTAGAAATGAATTCTTGTACTTTATAAGCCATCCAGCTGACTAGGGCACCCCCTATCCTGTGGGCCCAGGTCTCCTCCCAGGCCAGGGTGGAGATGTCTGCAGTCTTTGTCTGAGGACACTAGGGAGTTGGGGGAGGTGAGCTGGCTTCCCAGATGGGAGAGGAACATGTGAGGAAAGTGCCCACAGCACTCCTGCTATCGTCTGGGAGAGTGAGAGTGGCACAAAGGATCATGTATCCAGTGAAATGTCTAGAATAGGGAAACCAGTCGAGACAAAAAGAAGATTAGAGGTTGCCAGTGGGGACAGAGTGATGAAGATGGGAGGTGACAGCCACAGAATATGGGGTGGGTGTATTTAGTGGGTGATGAAAATGCTGTAAAATAGACCACGGTGATGGTTGCATGTCTCTGTGAATGTACTAGAATTTATGGAATTGTGTGTTTTTAAGTGGGTGTATGGCATACTATATGAACTCAATCTCAATAAAGATGTTAAAATAACCCAAATAAACATTAAAAAGAAAAGATGAGTGTTGTGGTGGGTGCTTGTAGTTCCAGCTACTCGAGAGGCTGAGGCAGGAGGATCGCTTGAGTCTGAGGTTGCTGTGAGCCGGGCTGATGTCACTGCACTCCAGCCTCATGTCCCAACTCTTTCCCAACTGCAAACACAACTCAAGGTCCTGGAGAAGCTGCCTGGACACAGGGCCCTCACAAGGCCCAGACAGCCTGGGTATCCTCCCTGTGCAAAGAGCCAGAGTGTGGGGCATGCCCTGGGGTCTTGGCAGGGTGTAGCCTCTACCTCCAGGCAATCACATCCTGGCTGGGTGCAGTCATGCACTTGGCTTAGCCAATGGAAAGGGACTGGCTGTGTGGGGAGTCAGGGACCCACAGAGGCCTGGGATCAGGGAATCACTGGCTGGGTGAGGAGTGCCTGGTGGCAGCAAGGACAGTACACACAGGTGGGGCAGGGGCAGTGAGGTTGGGGGGTATCTGATGCCTCACCTTCTAGGTTCAGTGGCAAGCAGGGACCTGTTCCTGGGCCAGGGACCTCTTGGGATCATGGTGATCTTCACCTGCCCCAGCACATGGCCCCTTGAGCTGACTGAGAAAGAAGCCCTTCCCCCAGGCCCAGGGTGCCTCATGCCTTGGGAAGAGGCGGGAATAGGGTGGTTCATGCAGCCTCCCTCCACTCTGGGTCCTGCCTGACTGTTCCCGCTGATGTATCCTGGCCCCATATCCCTCCCTTTTCTTGGCCTCCTGGACAGCTCAGCCAGGCTCTGGCTCTCCTGGGTAACTGGAGAGCTGGGGGCATGTCAGGTCCATGTAGAGACCCCCTCCTCTAGGGAGAGGCTATGGACCTGGGGCCCCGGCTGAAAAACCTGGGTCAGCCCTTTCTCATGAGGTCTCTGATACCTTGGATTCAGGTCCTTGTAGCAGCTCTCTGGAGCATGTCAGCAGCCTGGCCAGCCCAGGTGACTTGAGGTCTCCTGTCTTCACTGCATTATCACCCTTGAAATTGCCTGTATTCAGTGTAAATGCCCTCATGGTGGAAACACTGGGGCAAGAAGGGAAGTCCTCGTGGACCTGACATGTGTCTTCAGGAAGACATTGACAGACTGA